GAATTGACCCAATATCATCAATTAGGTTAGAAACAGCTTGTAAATCTGAGTCATATGAAGTTTCCTGCAATACAGTCTCTTCAGGAGAAGAGTGTGAAGACCTGATTCTCAATCAGAGATAGGGACTTAAGGCACACTTAGAGATCGAGACTCAGTAGGGCAGAATTAGACTCTTCCATGGATGGTGCCAGAGCATACTTTAAAACCTTTTTAAGCAGATTACTCAATCAAATGTGCACAAACCCGACAAAAAAATCAAAAGTGGATATAAAGGGGAGGTCTCAGTCTCTGGCAGCAGAGCTCTAGACTAGGTCACCTGTTGTAGCTAAACTGTACTCTGTGTCTCCTTAAAAAAGTCATGTTGCACAACATAGCAACAAAAAACCCCAAACAAACCTAGGTCTAAAGTGAAGCAAGGCCTTTTGTACTCACGTAGCTTACTAATTATGACAAGGGTTGTGAATCTTCTGAGGTGAAGTCACTGAAGAAGGGCAGTGGAACTAGACCAGAGACTGGATGATCCACATGGTGTTTCATGAGCAGGAGCAACAATGAGATAGTGCTTCTAGGCAGAATGGCAGGAAAAGAAGTGCAGAACAATCAACACTCCACCTAGCGGATGCTGTCAGCACACAGTTCCCTCAACTTTACCCTTCACTGTGTTAAAATGGTGGCAACAGGAGTTTTAAAATGGCACCCAACGAAACAAACTATGAGGTAGTTCCAGGTGCTTTAGAGACTCAGTCCTACCAAAGGCTGTGCCACGGCTTTGGGCCTGAAAAGCACACTGCAGTTAATTAACATGGTACACAAAGGTCTGGAAATACAAAGGCCAGTTCTTGAAGGTCACATCCCAGGTTAGTACCACAATCTTCAGTCCAGAGGGGTCCCCTTATGGCATCCTAAGCTATTGCTCAGGATACACAGATCCAGATATTTGCTGTGTACAAAGTAGCTCAAGTAGCATAACGGAAGTCGTGATTGAAGATACCATGGAAAAAAATATACAAATACTGATCATCTTGATGAAAAAAATATACTTATTTAAAGTGATATCAAGGCTATAGTTCTAATTTTTCTCAGCAGATCTGAGATAAAGATGTCCAGCCACATAGGACACGAGCAAAAATGGAGGAATGATGTTAGGAGGCAGGGCTATACAGTGGTTGGCTTAACGTTTATTTGCCAGTGTCTCAACCTCCTGAGGGTATCAGTATATCCCAACTGCTTAAGAATTTTCACCTGTTCAAGTGCTTGGTAACACAAATTGCTAATCAGCCAATCACATGGCAGCAACTCAACTCAATGCATTTAGGCATCTAGACGTGGTGATGTTCAAACCGAGCATCAGAATGGGGAAGAAAGGAAATTTAAGTGACTTGATTGTGGCAAGGTTGTTGGTGCCAGGCAGGCTTGTTTGAGTATTTCTAAAGCTGCTGATATACTGGGATTTTCACTCACAACCATCTCTAGGGTTTACAGAGAATAGTCTGAAAAAAAGAAAATATCCACTGAGCGGCAGTTGTGCTGACAAAAATGCGTTTTTAATGTCAGAGGTCAGAGGAGAATGGGCAACCTGGTTGCTGAGACATCCAGATAGTTGGGTCAGAATTTGTCGTAAACAGCAGGAAAGCATGGATCCATCCTGCCTGTATCAATGGTTCAGGCAGGTGGTGTAATGCTGTGGAGGATATTTTCTTGGCACTAGCAAAGCGTACCTAATAAAGTGGCCCGGTGATTGTACATGCTCCATTTCAAGATGAGCATTTATTTTGTAATCTTCTAAAATCCTACACTGTTTTGTTGGTAAAATGCTTGATAGAGTATTACTCCCCATTCCCAACTGTCGGCAACAGCGAAGTGCTTGAATTTACCTTGATATCAACAAACTCCAAAAAAAAACAAAGCACAGCCTATAATTCATTAACAATCCAATCCTATGTATAAAGATTTAGAAGGAGTATAAAGACAAACCCGCTCAGTCTACCAGGTTGTGTACATCTAAAGAGATTGAAGCACTAAGAGTATTGGTATCATTACAAAGTGAAAAGTATTGGCGGTAGTGCTGACGTTTGTGGTCCTTTATGTTAAAACAAAGGAGTGATCATACCCCACCCTTCCCTCATGGTAGCCACATCCAATTGTTTGTAAAATTGGTGGAGAGAGATCGTACTAGTTTATGGGAGAAGAGACAGAGAAAGGGCCATCATTCTTTCAATCCCTTATATTGTGAGTGGAAAGCTATAGAAGAACTATGGAAGAACAAAGAGTTGATTATCAAATCAGCTGACAAGGGGAGCAATATAGTTTTGATGAATAGAGCATTCTATTTGAAAATGAGCTATGATATTCTGATCAATGAAGATAACTATGAGGTACTTAGTAAAGATCCGACCAATGAATATCTAGACCAATTGAGAGTGATCCTCAACAGAGGAATAGATGCAGGGATACTTTCTAAAGATGAGTACTCTTTCATTTTAAACAATTATCCTGTAATTGCAACCTTCTATGCCCTCCAAAAAGTGCACAAACACCAGGAGAAACCTCCAGGTAGCTCCTTAGTATTGGGGAATCAGAACCTTACTGAGGGGGCCAGCAAACACATAGATTACATCTTCCATCCTTATGTTTACAGTTTTTCATCATACATTGAGGACACTCAAGATTTTGTCAATAAATTATCCAATATCACCTTAGAAAATGATATCTGGCTGGCCAGTCTCGATGTAGAGGCCCTCTATGGTAACATTAGACATGATTTGGGCCTAAAAGCATGTAAATACTTTTTGGACTTTAGAGATGCAGCTTTTCAGACACATACTGACGTTGTCTTCAACTTTTACAGTTTGTCTTGGAGTGTAATGTCTTCTTATTATTCGTGGGAGAATCTATGGACAATGTAAAGGCACTGCAATGGGTTAATCCTGCGTACCAACATATGCAAATTTATTCCTGGGTTGGTGGGAACGCTGCAGAGTATTTTCAAAGCAATTTGAGCATATTAGTATGTGCACCTTACTCTGGGTGCGCTTTATCGATTATATTTTCATCCTGTGGCAGGGCTCAAAAGGAAAATTTGAGTTTGTAGCTGAGTTGAATAAGAACAACATTGGGATTTATTCTACGAGCTAGATCGCTTATGATTGTATTAATTTCTTGAGCTCAAAATCACAAGAAATGAGAATGGTGTTATTGAAACAACAATTTACTGTAAACCCACATCTACTAATATGTTGCTTCACTGGGATAGCCAGCACCCAACTTCATTGAAAAGGGGCATCCCACAGGGAAATTCATGAGAGCAAAAAAGGCATTGCTCAATGGACAAAGCATTTCAGGCTAAAAGTCTTCAGCTGGTGGACAGATTTATTAGACATGGCTATCATATCAGTGATTTAATAAAATCGTATGACTAAGTAAATACAGTCCCAAGGGAGACCTTACTCAGAAACAAGCAGACACGGAGGATAGTGTGGGAATGAGAGTCATTGGTACATATTCCTGTCAATCTGGTCAGATTTTTAATATCATTAAAAAAGTATTGGGATGTTTTACACAATGATAAAGACCTTTCAAAAATCCTCCCAAAGAATCCCATGATCACCTACAGAAAAGGGGGAAATCTTAGAGACATGTTCGTGCATAGTCACTTAGAGAAGGTGCCAAGAAAGATTACTTCAACATGGCTATCTGATAAACTGCAGGGAAGCCATAAATTTGGACATTGCAAAGTTTGTCCCTTTATTCCAATTGAAAATATTTGCAAACCCTAAAAATAGAGAGATCATAAAGATACCACATATTTTTTTTGCAATTGCAATACTGAGGGGGTCATTAACATCATGAAATGTCCTTGCCCACTTCTATATGTTGGCAAAAAACCATCCGCCAGTTCAGGCATAGAATGCTGGAACATGTGAATGACACTGCACAGAAAAGGGACAGGCCTATTGTCAGACATGTCCTTGAAAAACATGGAAGAAAAGCTGAAGTTTTGAAATTTTGGATAGTAGATCAGTTTCAGTTGGGTCCAAGAAAAGGGGACCTAGATAAACATCTTGTGAAACTTGAAGCCAGATGGATCTTCTCTCTGAACTCGCGCTCCCCCCATAGTTTGAATGAAGGTTTTACTTTCTCTCCATTTGCTTGTAATTGATATTCCCAAGGCAATGTTGTCCATTTGCCTTATTTAAGTACTTTTTATTTGTATGTACATTATGTGTAAATTGTGAAAGGAATAACTGGATGGAATAATATAATATGTTATGATCCAATTATAATAAGATAGGAAAGTTTCATCAGATTAAATGGGACATTAATGGCAGTGATTATACCTGTCCTTCTCTCTGATGTCCACAAGATGGTGTTTTCAATTTGGCATGTGCAGAATGCAAGCATTTGGATGGCACATGAGGGATGAGGCAATGACACACGTAATGACAACATGACACAAACCGGTGATGTCATTGCGTCCTGTGCGCATGGTGGTCATTTCCAGGTGGCCTTTTGGTGCGGAGGGACAAGCACCCTCTTTCAGTTCTAATCTTGATATCAACAACCTGCAAATCTCTGTACAGCAGCATTTAGATTTGGAGAGTGAGGGCCAGCACTAGGAGTCAACCAAGTTGGTGCAGTAGTGCACATGTGCTGACAGGAGGGGAGAAAATAGTGGTTACCTCATCAGTGTGCTGCTGCTCCATTATTGACCAATCAACAGATTGGAGTGTGTTCTTGAATACATGGTTGTGCTGTTTGCCCAGAGTATCTGGATCACAAATGTAGCCGCTCACAATTAATAAAACCATCACAGATACATTTGTTACCATATACTGTATGTATTCAAACTATATTTAGTTTTTTTAAGAAAACTATATCTTGGGAGCAGTCATTCACATTTTTCTCACAAAAAAGAATCTTGTATCAGTGTTGTCTTGTTTTCTATCATTGTTTCTAAAACGTATTATTCACCATTGTCTTCTTCTCTCTTGACCTAACAGAAAACATTGTACACACAAGAAGCCCCTTTCCACGTGGTGATCACCAGCTACCAGTTGGTTGTACAGGATGTGAAATACTTTCAGAGGGTAAAATGGCAATATATGGTTCTGGATGAGGCTCAGGCTCTGAAGAGCAGTTCTAGGTAATGTTTCAGCATGCTGCCATTATTTGTTTTTGTCCAGAATTAAGAGTTATTTACTAGATTTGGTTTACCAGTATCTCAAAACAGCCAGCCGCTGAGAAGGCCTGTGCAGACTATAGCTGCCTCCACTCAAATAAGGAATCCTTTCAGGAATATTAGTGGGCATAAATGGTTACTAAAAAGTCAAATTACTGTGAGTCTGCCTGATAGAGTAAAGGCTTCCTAATGCACAATATACAGGATGTTGAGATGCAGCAAGATGGGTTAGTTAGAACTTAACTGTTAGCTATGGTGGGATTAGGAAACCTTCTTTTATTTGAGGCCTTGTTCACACAATACATAAAGAAAAACTGATGGAAATTGACACGCAGATTTCATTTCTGGAGATATCAGGTTATATCAGTTTTCATGCACGCTTCAATGAGTTTTATACACGTTGCAGATTCCTGCGCAGAGTATCGCTCATGATACTAGTGTTGTGGTGTGAACAGGGCACATAGAGAATAATTGACTTTGCTGTGACCTTGCAGACCGCGTGCAGAAAAACCAACGTCTTTGCACCATGGTATGAATGAGCCCTTACTATTTAGTGTTGCGTATATCTTGCATATATTCTGCTCAATAATAGTTCTTGTGTGAGGGTCCTATCAAACTCATGTATGTATATTTAATCGTGTGGGTTTTTTAGTTGCGTTGCTGTATGCATTTATGTAATTTTTGTGCATTTTGTATTTCACTATGTAAAGTAAGGGATAAACACATGCAGATACAATTTTTCTTTCTTCCTTGTTATAACTGGCTGCTCCTCTGCATCTGTTATGAGCTAGGACACAGCACTACGATCCTTGGATCGCTGGACCCCTCTGCCTATAGTTATGGGTCATAGAAGGTGCACCATTTCTGCTCTCCAGTAGCAGTTTCGTTAGTACCCTAAGGAAATATTCCTCTCCACTCTTCGTGAAGCTTTAGTGCAAGAGAACTGGGTCTGTGGGCCAGGATGGCACACATATTTTGTTAATGGTTCAGTGAGGATGGGGGGTTTCAGTGATCTCTCTCCACAGTGTCTAAATTCTGCTAATTCTGAGCAATGTTCCTGTTCAGAGGCACTTTCTTCTTAGAGGCCTCCCTAGCCCCCTCACTCCCTCAGACACGAATCCTTCCTCTGACTTTGGCCCTTTTATTGGACACCAGAGAGCCCCTCATCCTGTCACCCAGATTCCATCTATGACTTTCTTTGACTGCATTTGTACTTGCTAAGGAAGGGGAGGAGGATTATACCACATCTGAGTCACAGACTTTAGTACTGGAGGAGGCACAATCCACCAAAATCTCTCCCACACTTAAGAATACCATGACATTCTTTTTTTCACAGTGCACATCTGCCTTACCTTAGAGCAGCTTGCCTCTGCTCAACCAGTGTAGGATCACTGAAAACCTTTGTTCCTACAAAAAATGTGCTCAGCAATACCCTGTTGAGGAGGTGTCCCCAAAATAATTGGCACTTCCAGTCATGGACCTGCCATTACCTATTTTAGCAAATCCTTAATGGTTCCTGTTAAAGGTGTTGTGCTTTTTTGAAGACCTTTTGGACAATACGTTAGATGTCCTCCTTAAGGCCTTATTCTTCTTGTCATGTTAGGCTAGCCAACCTGCTGTCACAACCATGTCTGTTTGCCAGACTTTATCTGTCTTGTTCAGAAGATACATAGCTAGGAACCCCAGATCCATTTTTATGGATCCAGTTGTCCTTCCACATTTTGGATTTTTTTCCCTGTAGCTTTGTGCTACTGTGTTGATGTATCTGTCATCCTATGTCCACTGGAGAGTTTAGACTCTGCAGAGAGTTAGATGTAGTCTAAACTTACAGAAAACGGCACTCGATCTGACTCATCACTAGGTGTATCTGGGCCTTCTCTTACTTTCCCGAGGATAAGCTCTTGTCCCACTGCTCCAATTTTTGTACCCCACAGTTCAGGAGCCACTCCCCAATTTGCTTTTGCATGAGAGTTATGGGATTAATGGTAGCTGCCTTCGAGGCAGTACCATTTGCCTAGCTTCACTGCAGACTATTGCAAATCAACATTCTGGCAGTGTGGGACAAGCAGTCTCTGGATTGCCCCCAATGGCTTGGAAGGTGCTCATGAGTCTTGTATACCTTGTTAGTACATGTGAATTTGTCATCCAAGGAATCTCCGTTTGCCATCAATATCCTGGAACTTAGCAGAAGTTGCTTGTCCCTTCATCACTGGACCTCTTCGGTGAAAGGTCAGGCAACCAGGATTCAGTCGAACAATGCCACAATAATGGCTCACATCAACCATTAGCAAGGCACCAAAAGCCATGCAGCTCGAAGAGAAGGGGGCCTCATTCTAGCTTGGACAGAATGCCCTTGACGATCATGCAAGTCCCAGGCATGGAAGATTTGCAGGCAGACTTTCTCAGTAGTCAACACCTGGATCCCAAAGAATGGGCTCTTCATCCGGAGGTATCTCAAGCTCTCTGATGTGCTTGAGGGACACTGAACCTGGACCTTTACTGTCCAGATTAAACAACATACTAGACATGTTTATCAAAAAGACCAGGGATCCTTTGTCCTTTTTTAATGGATGCTCTGGTGACTGTGAGACCAATTCAACTTGATCTATGTCTTCATCCCTCCAAACCTCCTTCCTTGTCTGCAAAACAGAATTAGAGATGGATATTCAGGTAATCCTCATTGCACCAGACTGGCCCAGAAGGATGTGTTCCTCAGCTATACTCGGAATCCTTGCCTCCTAGCTTATCCACATCCTTCGGTTCCAGGAGCTGGCTCAGCATCCTGCTTTACAGACAGTGGCTTTAATGGCTTGGATGTTGAAGCCCGGGTACTGAAGAGCAGAGGCCTGTCAGCTTTGGTCATTCCCTGTGCTCTTGAATGCTTGGAAATTGACTTCTCGAAAAGCCACTATCATGCTTGGAAGGCTTATTTTGTGTGATGCGAGGCTAGCAAATTCCATCTCAAGAAGTACTCCATGGGATGAATCCTACCTTTACTCAAATCCGGTATGAATCAGCATTGGACTTAAGTGCCATTAAATTTCAAGTCTGGGTTCTGGCCATTCATTCCCAAGAAAGCTTGCCTGTCTCTTCTCAGTGAAAGCTTTTTTTCTCACATTGCTTCATCTCCCCGTGACACCTTGGGATTTCAACTTGTTTTTGTCAGTCTTCCAGAAACAGCCATTTGAGCCTATCAGGCTACTTTCACAAGGCTGCCTTCCCTGTTGTTATTACCTCTGTGAGGTAAGTTTCAGAGCTTTTGATCCTGTAAAGAGCCCTTTTTAGTGTTACACAGGGATGAGGTTTCTTTGAGGCCTAAGACCTCCTTTCTACCCAAAGGTAGTTCCTTCCTTCTACCTTACCAGGACATTGTCCTTACCTCCCTGTATTCTGCCCTGAATCTTCCTATAGAAAATTCCCTCCATTGTCCTTATGTGGATTTTCCTCTAGGCACACAGGTTTTCTCTTTCTGGTGTTTCTGAAGTTTCAGAGGACCCTGCCTTTTGTTCCTCCAATTCCAAGTGGATTAGACAAGTCACCAACTGAGCCTGTAGTCTAAAGGATAGAATTTTTTTCTTCCCTGTCAAGGTACGCTCTGCCAGACCTGTTAGTGCTTCATTGACTTTTCAGCATCAAACATCTGTTTCCCAGATTTCCATAGCTACCAACTGGTCTTCTGTTCTCTCATTTGTTAAGTTGTGCCTCATCTGATATTATTTTCCATTGTAAGGTGCTGCAAGCTACTCTGTGAGTGCTTTAAAGCCCTTCTTTTCAACCTTTGTTATGTGGACCAGTTGGCACTTTGTTGTGTTGGCCGCTCCTCAATTGCATTGCTTCTGGAAGTCAAAAACTCTGATCCAGGGTCCTGAAATGTATGATTAAGAAAATAGGATTTTTGGCCTGCCTGCATACTGTTTTCTTTCCACACATTACAGGACACAGACCTCCACTCTGGTTTTATGATTTACACCTTTTACTTCCTACAAAACCGTGGCTGGTTGGGTGTTGGAGATGTTTATGGGGGGTGTCCTTACAGCTTTGTTTGCCAGTGTCCAATCACCTGAAGGCAGTATCATACGACTCATAGTTTAAAACTCTGATCCTGTGTCCTATAATATACTAAAAATACATGATTTTTCAGGTAACTCAAAAACCTGTGTTTTTTTTTTTTTTCTTCGCATTCACAGTTCATTTAATGGGCCTAGTAAATGGGCCTAGTAAAAGTTTGCAAATGCACTAAGCTGCAGCATATACAGTTGATGTAAACTATCCACTTAGGCCCCGTTTACACCTAGCAATCACAGATTGCCATGTTTATAGCGCTTTTTTGCAGCAGCACCATTCATTTTGAATAGACTTCTTTCTGCTCCAAAACACGTCAAAGTAGCTCCTGTACCCTATTTGGAGCCGACTTTGGTGCATTTTTTCATTCTTTTGCACATTTGGGGTGCCATTAACAAAAATGGCACCTAAAGCACTTCACACATTCTGCCACAATTTTACCGTGTTCCAGAGTCATAGGTAGGGTTGTGTGATTCTGCCAGCAATTATAGAACGCCCAGATGTGAATTTTTTTTTATCTTTTCAAATAACGGCTTTGAACCGCCTCTTCTGGGATCCCCCACCAGTGTTCTGGGCTCCTCCTTTTCTGCAAATGCCATCATAGAAAGCAATTTCCGATAATGGCACATGTGCGGGCTCAGTCTTTTACTGGGCAATGTGTGTCTGTAGACACACACAGCCTAACTTGGCCCTGCTCCCAACTCACAGGATTTAACAGCGGCAGGAGCCAATTGCACCCGCTGCTGCCTCTATGTCAAGTGAGGTGAGAAAGAAAAATCAGCACTGCTGCAGATGGGCACAGCACTGGATTGAGAGGGCTCAGGTAAGTACTTAGTGTAGGGATTGACCATGGAAGGTTTTTTTTTTTTTTTTTTGTTTTTTTACTTTAATGCAGACAATGT